TAAGTAGTTTAAGAAGTATTTAGTATTCCTCTTAGTATTTACTATTATTATCTTCTTTTGTTAACATCACTGGGCCTTAAGTGATGAATTCCATTCTGTTGGTTGTTTTTGGGGGGGATTTTGGAATGTCAAATAAAGAACCTTGACATTGTATAAATTTTCTTTTTTTTTTTTCAGGGTATATTATACAGTCTGACGTCTATTATAGCCTGTATACTTGTTCATCAATGTATTGTAGTGTTTGTTAAAGAACCTTATGCTTATGTGCATTGCACTGTTCTCCAATGATTCAATTTGTAAATCATGTTTTTTGTCAAAATAAATTTTTTTGTATTTTTACTATATATATCAGGTCAGTTCACATATAACCTTGTGACTCAGTACATCAGTCCTGGCCTCTTCCTCTGCATCTTTCACGCCAACAGTGCGGCTGACGCTGAGGCCAGGCCTCACACACTGGGGGTGTGATCCTTTGCTCTTGGCTCTGTTTGATAAAGATTAATTCAATCCTATTTTCTGCCTTGAAATGCTTTTGCTAATGTGATTCTCAGTGTGGCGGATTCCCTGCTCTTCTGTCTGTGTGCCTCCTATAAGCAAACATAAGCACCTTAGCCATGTTAAGGACCAGCTGCAGGAGGAGAGGGCACCGCTACTGTCTTGTAATTCGGCTACACAGATTCATTCAGGGTGACAACAAACATACACATTTTCTTCTGTTGTAAAAAAAGATGCACTGGTTTAGCCGCCTGCTTGTTTCCTTGGAGATGTAATTGCTTTGCCTAGAATGTTCCACATTATGCATAAACCACGCAAAGCAATAATATACATGAGACAAGTCAATACCCCCCATCTTAAAAATGATATAGTGCACCTTTAATTGATCACTAGTAACTGTGAGTTTTAAGTCATAATTTACCTATGCAGTGTTTGCGCTACACCTGCAAGCCATGCATTTGTTGCAGTTTGTGGTAGATCCAGTAGAGGGTGCTGTGCAATCCTAGAACTCAGTTTAATCAGCCTGTTTCTATGAAGGTCTTTTTAACTTTGAATAACATTTAAGCATTTAATTTCATCCACATAATATTTGTATCACATGTTATCATTATTATTATACCATTTTACAATTTATAAATCATTCAGAGTTAGTAATAAACCAGCACAAAATATTTCATTGTAAATCAAAAGGTTTTAAAAGTTTTAATTTGGATCACATGAATAAGGGCTGCGTAATTCATTGAATTTATAATCAAGGTTTCAATTATTTTTCTATTTTTCATTTTATAATTGAAAATACAATTAACATCTGTTTGATTATATAATCTACAGTGGCACAAAACATTACAAATAAATTATATTAGGTATACATTTTCTCATTAGGGTAATTAAGACAGTGTAGAAATAATAGTTTTAAATAATTGTGATTAAAATTTTGAACCAAATAATGATACATGATTGAGAGTTTTGCCATATTTGAGCAGCCCTAATGGAAAATACTCTGGTTGTTGTTGTTGTTGTTTTTCATTTGAGTGCAATGTGCAGGTGGTCTTAGAGTTCTATAGCAGTAGTAGTAGTAGTAGAAGCAGTAGTAACAGTAGTAGCAGTAGTAGTAATGCTAGCAATAATAGTAGTAGCAGTGATAGTAGTAGCAATAGTAGCAGTAGTAGCAATAATAGAAATAGTAGCAGTAGTGGCAGCAGTAGCAGTAGCAGTAATAGTAACAGCAGTAGCAGTTGCAGGAGTAGCAGCAGTGGTAGCAGTTGCTCTGGGGTTGTAAATGTCTGCCACCATTATTGATCACTGCTGTTGCCCCTGGTGCTCGTGTGAGAGTCAGCAGTCTGTCGAGGTGCCTGAGCGCTGCAGTCTGGAGCAAGGCGTGGGCCTGTAAATCTCCCGTTCTGTACATACACTATATAGAGTGCGTCTAACATATAGGTCTAACTGCACTCTGGTGAAATGGCTGACGCTGTATGGCGCTGTCACAGTGACCTCTGCTGCTGACATGATCACCACTCACTCCTCGCACACCTCTGCAGTACTTTTACATGAAGGCTGGGATTGGAACCTCTACTGTGAGAAACTGACCTCTTCACACAAGCATCATTTGTAGTCTGAGCTCTTGAATGAAATTTGTCTCTTTCCTTCTCCACATTGTATACAGCTACATCAGCACTTTCTGCACCCAGCCTCAGCTCTGTCATTTAGTTAGCAGCTATGCTATGTTTTCATGAATTCTTTGACAACAGAACTAGCCACTTGAAATATTTAAACTTAAAGGGCCCATATTATGCTATTTTATTATCTATGTTATAATGTTGCCTCATCAGAAACAATCCTAGAGTTGTGTTTGGCTTCATTCACACACGATTAACACAAAGATCCTGCATATTGGAGCTGAGTTCTTTCCTCAAATGGAAAACACTCTATTTCACCTTGTGATGTCATGTGGTAATACAGGAAGTGCTCCACTGTGTTTTAAACTCCATACACCTTCACCAGAATCATTTGGATGATTTCAAATTCTACTGAACTAAAGGCAAAAGGTAGCTGTTAACTTGAAAACTACCACTTTATGACACAAGGTGGAGCAGAGCATTTTGATCTTTGGAGATGCTGACAGAATAATAATCCAGGATTACTCAAACATGTGTGAATGAAACAAAACAGGTATGTTTTTAATCAGGTAACCAGATAGTAACATGGCTTAAAGCTCACAAGAGTCAAAATTGTGTAAAATAAGACCTTTAAATTTATAAATGTTTCTTTAAAAAATTGTTTTAATAAATGTTAACACCCTGCCCAATATCTCTTTAATGTCCTTGTAAGTATCCATGACACTTTTAAATATTTTTTCCTTCCTGCCCACTTTTTTTTTTTTTTTTTTGCAAATTCCCAATCTACTGTCTGCTACAAATGTGTTCATATTATATTATTAGTTATTAAAATAAACATATTTCAACCAATCAGAGACCTCTTCCTCAGTGTCACTGTACATAAGGAGACGAGGACTCTAAAATACTGCTGAGAGTCACATTGCTGATCTCTCGTCTACACACTTGAATATTAATGATGTCTGTTCCTAAAAGCTTTGACTGTGACCTCCCATCACACACACATGCGCGCACACACATACACACATACGCACACACGCATACACACACGCGCGCACGCACACAACCACATACACACTAATGTTGGGTAACAATGCTTTGTGGAGACATTACATTGACTTACATTCCTTTCTTGGAGACTGATCCTAACCACATGACTTGTTTAATGCCATACTGTGGAACATTCCAGGCAAGCAAAACCATCTCCATGGAGATAAACAGCTGATGGACTCTATAAGTGTGTGCACCGTTAACTTTAAATCATGTAGATTTTTTTAAATGAAGGATTTGCATCATGGGGACCTGATTTCTGTATCTGAGTCTGTATACAGATTTTAGTCTTCACAATGTGATTAATATCTACTCACACACACACACACACACCAGAACTGGAGACCCTTCGTCCTCCCCTCTCCCGGATGTGAAGAAGTTTCCTGAGGGACTGAGAGACGAGGAGCACAGAGGTGTTGATTACGGTGATGCTTGGAAAGAGAAGAGGAGAGGAGAGAGGGTTAAAGAGAGAGAAGAGAGGGGAGGTGAGAGAGGGGATGAGAGATGAGAGAGGAAAGAATTGGGTTAAAGAGAGGCCAGAGTGAAGGGGAGACAGGAGAAGGGTGGGGGAGGAAAGAGAGGAGGGAAGAGAGAAGAGACTGAGGAGGGAGGAAAGAGGAGTTAGAAAAGGAGAGATAGGGTTAAAGAGAGAGGAGAGGGGAGACGAGTGATACAGAGGAGAATGGCAGGGGAGGAGAGAGGAGGGAGAGAAGGAGAGAGAGGGTTAAAGAGAGGGGCGAGCCAGCACCTCTCCACACCTCTCCGCACCTCTCTGCAGCTGTAGGAGACATCAAGTGTAAAATTGCACGGTCCTTTCAAACACACTCCATCAAAGCTCATGAGGTCACACCTGCACTCACCAGAGTTGGGGAATTTCTTCAAAAACATAATCACACAAGCATTTTTATATGGACCACATACAATACATTCTCTATGGAGATTTCAGATATGTTTTGATCTGATTAAGTGTATCTCCCCTACAATGGACCAGGCAGACTGACCTTTTAACGTGCTACCTGGGCTTTGCATGTGTCCCCTGTAGAGTGCATTTTCCCCTCTGATTTTCAGACTTTATCACTCTGCAAATAGATGCTGTAACATTCTTTGCACCTCTATAAGAAGGAGAACATGCATGTCACACCTTAATAGCAAGAATACACTTCCCACACATAAGACATCACACATGGGATCATTCGAGAAGTAGTAGTTTGACAGCAAAGTGTAACTGTAACTCAAAACTTATGTAACTTTATGTCTGTTTTAATGAACAATTCACTTGAAAACACTGAAATTATGAAGGAGAGTGCAAATAAACTAATCCAAAAAATGTTCAGTTTGTCCTCTTTTTAAATGATCAACTTGGATAGAGTTTGTGATGTATTTACCTTGTTGACAGTTTTGGCTTTAACTGAGAGTCATCTTCAGAACTGTCACTTGGTCTTGGTGGCGACGTGTTATACTGATGAACCTGGCAGGTTGCTCAGACTGATAAGTAAATTAACAAACACACATAAATCTGCCTCATTCTACTCAAGATAATGAACCACTGGCTTGTTCAATAATGTGGTTACAGTGGCAGCTATAGCATGTTTTACGATGATGAAAATCATTCAACCATTTTTCCACATATTCTTACACAAGCAATGGAAGAAAAGTGGGTGAAGTGTGTTGCTCGATGACATGTTAGCAGTAGGCTGTTAGTAAGAAATGAAAACTTTCTCTATTTTAGATTTGATTTAATGTTAAGCCATTGGTCCAATTGTAATAATGTAACAATGTAAGCTCATATGAGCAGATCTGATGAATACTCAAATAACATTCTGTATTTTTCTTCTTTTGCAGCAACAGCGACGTCTAGACCTACTGACCATCACCAACCCAGGTAAGTACTGAAAATCTCTTGAGATTATCCACTCATAAAGCTGCACATTATCATAGTACTAGAGTGTATACATAAGCACAGGAGATAGTTATATATTTTTGGAGTTCTGGTGTGTCTGAGCTAGTAATCACATCTTCTTCTGTATACATAACATTAAGTGGGTGCTACTCAGTATCCACAGGGTAATGAACTGAGAAAACTGATACAAAAGTTTCCTTCACTCTTTCTTTACATCCACTATACTATATACCACTTGACATGTGTCTCATTTTGAAGTCATTCATCATAGCATTTTTGTTTGGAACTTTTTTTTTGGAAAATAATCAATATAGTACCAATGTTTTTAATAAACAGTATGGGTTGCCAGTTTTTTCAGTTTTGCATTTTAATCTCCTTTCAGTGTGTTTGACATGCCTGTGCGCTTTCCTGACTTGTGTCCAATCTGCACCTTCTATATTACATTTGCACCACCAACACAGATGGTGCTTGACTCGTAACTTTGACTAGATGTGGAAACAAATCACAAAGTAGTTTCACGAGGGGACCTAAATCCACAGCTGTGTGAGGCAGAGCTCCACCGAGACACAGCGCCAAGAGAAAAGGCAGAGAGATGCAGAGCACAAACAGATGGGGACGGCAAGGAGGATACCAAGACCCATATGTGTAAAGTATCTGGATGATTTAATGTGCTTTGATTAGAATAATGCAGAAGTGAGGCTGGTGAAGTCCAGGTTAATTTAGCAGGTTTACTCCGCAGCTGTTGTTTAGGCTCAGGACAGCGCTGTAACTCGCCCCCGGACTTCAGAAGCTGACAGAGGGCGCAGGGGGGACAAAGGTGTGGGTGAGAGAGGGGCTGGGCTATGGCAGAATCTTGGACATGCAAAGAAGAATAGAGAGCATCTGTGGAGCTTTTGCACACAGTACTATTGAGAAAGTTATATATCATAGTTCTGAGTCTCAGTATTATATGGCAAAGTGACTTATTTGCAGCTATGACTAAAGCTCAATAATGATCTAACCCTTGGTGTGGTTTAGATGTGCACTATGTTGCTTTTCTGGTGGAAGCTGTACCACCTGATTAACACTATGCATATGCTAAATTTGCCTGAAATATTCCACAGTATGACATTACATTATTTTTATACAATTGGAGGTGTTTTATTGCTCAGAAATAAATTTAAAATAAAACATGTCTCTATTTTCTACTCCATGGAGGCAAGCAAGGGATGGAAAGTTACATACTGTAAGACTCTTACTGTAGCAGTCCACTTCACTAGTTTGCGTGTAGGCCTTTTAGCACAATGGACAGTTCCCACTTCAATCACACATTCATTCATTAGTTAAAATGATGAGTTCTCCAAACACCAGAACCATTAGAATAGTCTAAGGGTCCAAAACACCAACTCTCTGCTACTACTGAACATAACACAACTGTAATTCATTAAAGCTGTGAAGTCATTTGCTCATTGTCCATTTTAATAATTGGTTGGCTTATAAACTGTATATAACGGTATAAAGGTCTCCCATTTAAAAGGAGAATGTCGTCAAGTGGAATAGATCGATTCAGAAACGGACCAGAATAAAGCAGCGCAATGTGAACTACATATCAGCAAAGTAACTAGTAAATCAGAGAAGTAACAGCTGCATTTTAAACCGAATGGTGTATAAAATATCCTTTAATCAAAAAGTCAACATGTACCGCAGACAGAAAATTACACCCACTCTTAAAATAAAATGACAGAATTGATAAGTACTGAGAAAAAGGCTTAAATTGTGCTAGAAAATTCCGCAGATGTGGTAATGAGATGTTCTGCAAATGACACCGCCTTAACAGTTCTTCTGATATCATGCTGAGTAGATCCCAAATCTGTTGAAAACTTTGCACAAGCATATTTTAGTGTTGGACTTTTTCTTCTCACTAAAGGACCCCAGAGATGTCTTTCAGGTATAACTCCGCAGAGGCAGGCTTCTTTGACCGGTGCAGAACTCAGTGTGCTGTGTTAAATGATCACGGGTCGCTTGCCTGCCTGTTGTAACCTGTGGCCTTGAAGCGAAGTCTATTATAATCTTAACTTGGCGGACATATTTTATCCAGGCCTGTCGCGTATTACTATTCGCAGTGGGCGAGTGGACATGCACAGGAGCTCTCAAGGTTATTATGATGGCTCTGTGAATGCTCGGTCTGATGATTGGCTCTGATAAGGAAACAGGACATCCTCTCCTGTCTGGCTTAAGGGTCTTACTGCCTCTCTCTCTCTCTCTTTCCCTTTCTCCATCTCTATTTCTGTCTCTATCTCTCTCTATGTCTCTCTGTCCTTCTCTCTCTCTCTTTGTCTACCTGTCTTTTCTGCTCTCACACACTCACTCTCTGTCTCTCTTCAAAAAAACTCAACTCACTTTTGGACTTTAGTGTAAATTTTATGAAAGCATGTATTGTGTAATGTAAATAGTTTAGTTTGTTTCTTTTTAAATAGCACACGGTGTGGGTGAAATTTGATGTGAAATGTTTTTGACAGGCTCAATAAAGGTCTGTTTAAAAATCGAATCACTCTTTTTTGCTCTCTCTTACTCTGACTGTCTCTCTATCTCTCTATTTTATATATTTCTGTTTATTTAAGTATAAAACCCCTGCTCTTATTATCCTTATTGCGTTCCACTCTTTCTCCACTCTTAGTCGTACTGTGGCTGGAGAGAGCATGGCCAATCGCAGGCTGTGAGTGTGTTAATAGGCGGGAGTAACTGGCTGTGTGTGAGTGGGAATGAGATTTGATGAGGACTGTGCCCGTGCTGCTCCACTGGCCTCTGTTTCTAATGGCATTCATTAGCCACTATAAATAATGATCAACTCCCATGTTCTCACACTCTCTGTCCCATCTCTTCAGTTAGTTCTGCTACACTGAGGAACAACTCGCATAAGCATGGATCCTCTGTCTGGTCCTGGGATTTGTTTGGTAAATGAATGAAGAAGTTTTGTCTGTAGTTGCTATTAAGAACACAATCATTGCACTAATTTACTTACATTTATTAAAAATGTGGAATGGCTTATTGTCTTGTACTTCTCCAAGAAATTGCTGAAATAAGAGTTCTTGGAATGATTTTTGGAACCTTTTCAAGTAAGAGTAATTAAAAAAAGTAAGTGCCTGAAGTAATTTAGTATTTATAATTTATTAGTTAATGTAATTGGAATCACAAAGCAGGAAGCAATGCACAAAATCTCAATCAGAAAATCTAAATTATATCTAGGGGTGGGGCAACAAAGGTAAATGTTAAATCATACTACATTGTCAGCAGTGTCACAGTAGCCACAAATTTTAATCATGTAAGTACTGTCAATAAATAAATAAAATATATTATTCAAGTAGAAGTAAAAGTGCAGCTCTAAAACTCCACTTTAACTGGATAGGCACCTCTTGACCTATGTGACTCACTGTTGAGGTCTCTCTCCTACTCCTCCCCTGCACTTTATTCCCAAATATAGTACTCGTGTAGTTGCTTGTGTACAATGACAGTATGTTCTTCTTCCCCCTTGCCCTCCTCTTCTGCCCCACTCCGCTGCCCCTCTCGAGCCCTCCTCCGTCCTCTTTAATTGGACACTTGAGCGGCGCATGTTGCATCTGGCCCCTGTAGAACACACAGTCTGACATTTCAGACTGCTGACCTTTGCAGACCCTCCACAACTAAATAATGATTAGTGTTGGCAACTGTTCCTCCATCAGGTGCACACCGCAGTGCCACAAAAACACCTGGACTGGGCTTTGTGTGCACAGGAGAAAATAGAGAGCACAGCATTGTTTTATTGCCTATTGATTTCATTGTTCCATATCTGCAGTCAGCTCTCAATAATGTGGGATTGTAAATGAACCGAGCTTGCTACTGTTTAGATTCTTTATTGCTTTTATAGGCTCTTTATGGTGGGAGAAAGGTCAATAATATTCATGAGATTGGGACAGGTTTGAGAATTCACTGAATGTCTTAGTGCTTGTACAGTATGAGTTTAGCAATGTGCGTACGTGGATCTGTCATATTTGGATTCTTCTGCTGTTTATATCAACACAGATCTTCATTACAGCCTTCAGAATATAAGAAATGGGAGGTCCAAGGTTACCTCTAGTTCAACTTGATCTCCATGTACCTGATTTTCTTCCTTTAAGGTGAGACTCTCCAGGTGAGCAGGAACAAAATCTTCAATTTAGAGATATCAATTTGAAACTACTTTGAAAATAGAAATGTGAAAAAATTGATAGAGTCAGGTTTAAATTTCTTGCTTAAATGTGTTGACACAAAGTATTTGGGATTATTTAGGATTTGTCTGATTGAAACTGAATACTTTCAATATATTTTATAACATGAGTCCTCATCCCCCACTCTTGTTGTTACTACCATTTTATCAATTTCTCTCTAGTTTCTTGGTTTGTCTCACGTAGAGGAGGTCCCAGCAGGCGCACTTGTTTCCAGACATGTGGTTGACCCTGGAATAAGAACAGGAGAGCAGCCCTCCTGGCCCCTATAGTAGCCTACATACCTGCACTGATGGAAGTCTCTGGGCTTTAAACCTGCATGTGCTTGACTGGCTCTGGCTCTGAGAATCTGTGGGCTGGATTCCACTGCAGACTTTGCAAACACAAAGAGAGAAGTATGAAGTCAGACAGGGACAAACATGATTTCAAAGTGATTAACAGACTTCTGTGGAAATGGGCAGCTGTGAAAACAACACTCCTTATTATTGCCATATCCTTTCTTTGTCAATTTGCACATTTTCATTACAAGACCCTGCATCTATTTAATGTTGTTTTTAAAGGTGGAAGGATTTAAATGGGTTAAATGTTTTTTTTTTGTTTTTTTTTTGTGTTATATTTTTACGTGCCTGGATGTTGTACAGATTTTTGCACCTCAAAAATGTACACAGAAAAGTCTTTGTTTCATTCACACATTTCTACAATTCAACACTGTCATGGTATTTGGCATGTTAACTCCTATGCTTTTTTTAGTCATTGCTATAC